ATCTCTTATTTTATATCAAACACTATTCTAAGCACTATATGTACTGGCTCGTTTTATATTCCAAAAATGTTACAAAATAGACATCTTTATTATAATAATATTAAGATTTTTCCCTCTCTGGGTAGAGTGCCGTGCCATTATAGCTTACAGCAACTTCAGATTTCTGGGTTCAAGAGATCCTCTTGTCTCAGCCACCCAAGTAGTTGGGACCACAAGCACCCACCAAAACGCCCGCTGATTTTTTCTGTTTTTAGTAGAGACGGGGTGTCAGTCTTGCTCAGGCTAGAATTATGACCTTAGTTTCAAGTTCGGAACCTGGGATAGAGAAAGTTCAGGAATTTGCCCCAATTGGTAGAGCCAGGCAGGACTGAAGCCCACACTGTCTGGCTTCAGGGCCCCCATATTTTTTTATTTTAAAATCTTCATATCTCAGAAAAGTCAAAGGAATAGTATAATGAACACAAAAATACCCTTTACTGGTTTTCACCAGATGTTAATGCAGTATTTTGTCCCATTTGCTTCCTCTTTGGTATAGTCTGTCTGTATTTTGCCAAATGATTTGAAAGTAAGTTGTAGACATTTTCAATTAGTTACAACTCAGCCTGAAATGAGTTGATACCTACCTCCTAAGAACAGGCCCGGTCTCCTAGATAACATAGTGCAGTTATCTTACCCAAGAAATTGAATAGTAATGTCTTAGTGCTTTCTGTGGAGTTTAATTTTGTTTTAATTTTTAGAGAGAGGCTCTCGCTCTGTCACTCAGGTGGACTGCAGTGGCATGATCATAGTTCACTCAGCCCAGACTCCTGGGTTCAAGTGATCCTCACATCTTAGCCTCACAAGTAGGTAGGACTACTGCCACACTCGGCTAATCGTTAAAAGTGTTTGTAGTGATGTGTTCTCACTCTGTTGCCCAGGCTGCTCCTGCCTGGGCTTCCCAAAATGCTGGGATTATAGGCATGAGCCATAGTATCTGACCTGTAATGCCATTTTCTAATATATTTCCAAACTTCCTCATGAAGTTCTGCTGTGTCCGTTATCTTTTCCTTGGTTCTAAAACTTAATGACAACTTTAATGTATGACAGTGCTGGTCTGACAGAGGGCCTTCACGTCTGGGTCATCCTCATAACTGTCCCTGATTCATAAATGAAGATAGAGTCTCAGAAATCCGTTTTCTGGAAAATGTCCTCCTCATTCTTCATCTCAGGGTCCTATTCTCCATGTAGATACAGGCAACCTGAAGAGGTGATGAGATGCTACCATAGTCAGGGGCAAAGCCTGCCTATTATCTCAAGAAAAGATGTAGTTGTCTGTACCAATTCAGTAGAAAAAGCTGACAAACACCTTGCCACACACAGCTTTTGACAAATTCCATCACTTTGAGTATAGATCTATAAATATAGCTCACTAAAAGAATATTTGTTAGGGCCTCATGTCTGTAATCCTAGCAGTATGGGAGGCTGAGATGGGTGGATTGCTTGAGCTCACAGGTTCGAGACCAGCCTGAGAAAGAACAAGACCCCCATCTCTAAAAATAGCCAGGTGTTGTGGCGGGCACCTGTAGTAGTCCCAGCTACTCAGGAGGATAAGCCAAGAGAACTGCTTGAGCCCAAGAGTTTGAGGTTGCTATGAAATATGACACCATGGTACTTTACCCAGGGAGACAGAGTAAGACTGTCTCAAAAAAAAAAAAAAAAGAGTACTCATTAAGTCCTCTTTGTGATTGGAGAGGCTCAGCTGATACTCTCTTTTCTATAATTATCAGTTCAGAGTCTTGCACCATAATCTACCTTACATGCTTATGCTAAATACCAATACTGTATTTAATCCTAATTCAGAATTCCTATTTCTTTGAGTTGGACTTACATTATGAGTGCAATTCACTATCACATTCATAGAAGCCTGTCCGTAGTTAGGGTGCCACGACAGTGTTGCCCACTTACCCTTAGTTTGTTGCTGTTTGACACTGTAATGCTGTATACCTGCTTCCTGGTCCTCACTGGTCAACCTGCTTGTCTCTTTCTTTGAGGTGTATTGACTCTCTGTTCCTCGATAGGTCTGAAACATAGCCTGAGTTCAGCTCTGGTTGTATGAAATTTCCTGAGCACAAATAGTAATCGAGCTGAACCTCTATTCATTGTTGTCTCGGGTCATCTTATAACTGTAATATTATGATAATTAATTAATGAGTTAATATACCATCTATCCCCTGTAGTCTTGGGGTAAGAAAATGTTATATTGTGTTCCGGTTTTCATGAGTTTTTGTTCACTGCAAAACGTGTATGAGATGAAGCAATGCACTTGGCTGCTTTAGCACTGCGGGATTAAATTTGGAAAAGGACTTTTCACCAAAATAGACTCTGGATTTCCTAACACCTTGGGGTACCCTTTCCCATTATTTGAATTTTTACTTTTTTAATTTTTCCGTTTGATTGAAACTTTCCAAAATGGCAAAATGCCTTAAGAGTACATCTTTGGAGAACCATACTCCCTACAGTAACATCCTCTTTGAACTTTCCCTTTGGTGTACTGATGCCTATGTGAAATATGCATTAGAAAACATGACCCAACCATAAAGATCCTTTCACCTTTTCTACAGAAACTACATTGGGATAAAGAGCTTTATTTTTCTGACAGAGTTCTTTAAGTCTCTGAGAAGGATTCTTGGTGGATGTAATGTACCAAGGAGTTCCAATGTTGGGGGACATGGAGATTTATTTTTTTTTTTTGCCAACTGCATTAAGGTATAATTTACCATATTTTCCTATGTATAGTTGCACTTTTTTGCACAAATTTTTTATCTTTTTTTTTTATTAAATCATAGCAGTGTACATTAATTAATACTATCATGGGGTACAGTGTACTGTTTCTGTATACAATCTGTAATTGATTGTTAGATAAAATTTACCATAATAGGTTAAAAACTTAATGCTAAAATTCCTTACAAACTTGAATTAAAAAATTAAAAGTTTTTTTCCTTGAAAGTTTGGACAAAAAACATTGGGTATGCATTATACATGGAAATGCGTTATACATGACAAAATATTATACATACCAGAAAATGCTCCCCTTGTAAGTGTGGTTCAGTGACTTTGGCTAATTTGTAGAGTTGTGTAATCATCACAGAAATCCAGTGTCAGAACATTCCTATGACCCCAAGGAATTTCCTGCCCCAGGACCACTACCACTCTGCTTTTAAGAAGGGACATCTCTGATCTTTCCATGTTTTACCAACAGGATAATTTTATTTAGCCTACTGTGTATTTCTTTTTTTTTTTTCTTTTTGAGATAGAGTCTCACTATGTCATCCTCGGCAGAGTGCCATCACAGCTCACAGCAACCTCAAACTGTTAGGCTTAAGTGATTCTCTTGCCTCAGCCTCCCAAATAGCTAGGACTGCAGGTGCCCACCACAATGCCCAGCTATTTTTTGTGTCAGTTGTCATTGTTGTTTAGCTGGCCCCTGATGGGTTCAATCCCGCCGGCCTCAGTGTATGTGGCTGGCTCCGTAACCTCTGTGCTACGGGCACCAAACCTACTGTGTATTTCTTAATGAAATTGGCACAGGCAGTGTTAGTTAACACATGACCCTGCATGAACAGACTGCTTATTAATGGTGACAAAGGAGCATCTTGGTTTGCATTAAGTTTCTTAGGTTAGAATATTTTGTTTCTGAGTTGGCTGCACCATCTTTTTCATTGAGCATTATCTAGAAATAACTCAGCCATCAAGTGTCTGTACAGGATACGTCTTCTGAGAAAAAGCACGTGAGAGTGCTATAAAGGTTCATCTACTTTGGTAGTAGTTTAAGAAAATATCATTCTTCTTTTTATATCCACAGGTACAGCTCAAAGAAGCCATTGAAGATCTTCCTGGTAAAATGGATACTGAATTAGCAGAATCAGGATCCAATTTTAGCGTTGGACAGAGACAATTGGTGTGCCTTGCCCGGGCCATTCTCAGGAAGAATCGGATATTGATTATTGACGAAGCGACAGCAAATGTGGATCCAAGGTACAGAGCTGATGTCCGTGGAACATTGGATCCAAATTTTCAATGTGGTAAATGGGAAACATTGAAGGATACTGAGAAAGGTGTCCACATGTTCTGTTTGTCCCAAAGATGGCTCGATAGCATTAATTCTGAAATCCGAAACATGTTTTATTGTGTTAATGACATTATTACGCATTCTTAGAGAGCTAGATTTCCTAAATTCTCCTGATAGTCTAAACAATTTGGAGGGAAGATAGTTCCCATTGCTTTATTAAAAACAGTCAATTTCAAAGTAGACTTTTTATGTTTAGTTTTTTTTAAGAATAAGATTATGTTTTAAAATACTGACTTTAAAGGATTATTAAAATATGATCTTTCTAAGATTTTTTTTTCAAATCTCTATTGTGTAGTAGAGATCTTCAGTCTGTTTTCCTCATCTTTACTGAATTGAACTTCTTTGATTGTAGAACTGATGAGTTAATACAAAAAAAAATCCGGGAGAAGTTTGCCCATTGCACGGTGCTGACCATTGCGCACAGGCTGAACACCATTATTGACAGCGACAAGATAATGGTGAGTCCTTTATCTGTGGAATTCTAGTTGCTTCCATTTATATTCAATTTTTCAATTCCCTTCTTGTACAAGTTGGTAGAAAATTAACTTATTGGCTATTTCTGTTAATTTTTCCCTTCAGCATATTCCTACATATTCAATGCTATTAAATAATATACCTGGCATATCTTTACATATTTTTATATTAAGTGTTTGTTTTGAATTGTCATTTTCTTTAGATTGGCCAACATTCCAAATGTTTGAAAATATCCCAATCTAAGATACAACTTGTGAGGCTAAGTGTCAGTCCCCAGAGCCATAGAACACTCTACTTTTCAGTTGTCCCTGGTCCAAAATTAAGCCTTTCATTTAAATGCCAGGAGGTTGCTGTGGGTGAGATTGCAGAGTTTCTCAGCTGTTGGGACGTTCACAAGATGTGTGTGGTCGGAGGGGAGGACATGAGAAGACCCTTAACAAATTATTTCCAGAAAGGGCCTTATCACAAAAGCAAATGATTCCAACTGAAAGGGTTTAACATAGGAAATTGTTACCTAAGAATTGGACAGCCAGGAGAGTGAAGGGAAACACTGGGGTCACAGTTTTAGGAAGCTGTTGGAACTTAGAGCAGAGTACCCAGAGAGTTGGTGCTTTGATTTCTGAGGCAGGGCCAATGCCCCGCTGCAGGGAGGGAGTGAGATGAGGCAGGTTTCTGATGTGCTGATAGAAGTTAGAGGCTGGGCCGGGCAGGCGGGCGCCATCGCTCACGCCTGTAATCCCAGCACTCTGGGAGGCCAAGGCGGGTGGATTGCCTGAGTTCCCAGGTTTAAGACCAGCCTGAGCCAGAGACCTCATCTCTAAAAATAGCCAGGCATTGTGGCAGACACCTGTAGTCCCAGCTACTTGGGAGGCTGAGGCAAGAGAATCGCTTGAGCCCAGTTTGAGGTTTCTATGAGCTATAAGGCCACAGCTCTCTACCAAGGGTAACAAAGTGATACTCTGTCTCGGAAAAAAAAAAAAAAAGGAAGTAGAGGCTTGCTGGTGCTGGCCACAGTAGCAGAGACAACCTAACAGAGCCAGCAGGCCATAGAGCTTGTGACTGAGTCATCCCAGCAGCACGGGTGAGGGTGTAAAGGGTGGCTCTCGAAGCTGCACACATCACGGGCTGCACGCTTCGGTGCAGGAATGTCTGTCTAGTATCTTCCTTCCAAGTTTGATTGGCTCTTCCTCTTTCTTCTTTTCTCCTCTCTCCTCTCCTTTCTAATCCAACCCTTCTCTCTCCCATTGGCCCTTCTCCTTTTCTCTTTTTGTTTGACCAGTTTCAGCGTATCCAAGGATGCGGCTTTATCAAATGATAAGGGGAAACACCCCTCAAAGGAAAAACCTTTGGCTACAAAGAAGCCTAAAGGCACACAAGTTATTTTCAGCATTTGGCTGATTTCCCTCCACCTTGTAGACACTAATTGTTGTCACCTCTGGTGTCCAGTGGTGCTCTAATTGATAACAAGGAAGGAAATAGATTATAGAAGATCTGGATGGTAGTGCCTGAGAAGCAACAGATGCAGTCTACACTGTGACATTGGACTTCTTATGTCCAGTGATAATGGTGTGCTCTTTAGACTTCATGGGTAGTTTCTAATATTACCTCCTACTCTGTGTCACCTGCATTTTCAGATGGGATCACCAGTGGGACATCTGAGAACACCAGACTGCCAGCATTGGGGTGGTACCTTTGGCCTTGTCAGTGCCCGGAGCTGGGTGTGTGTAGGGATGAGCTCTGCTGTGCTTCACGACAGGAGCAGGGCTGTACCGACCAAAAGGGTGCTGCCAGCTTCACGCAGTGAGGCCAGCCTTCTAGGCTACGAAAGCTCAGTAGAAAGCAGGTACTCCAGCAGGCATTTGTGAGCGAAGGGGCGGCAATCTGAGATTACAGGCCCCTGGCTGTTTAGCATTAACATCCTTAGCCCTTTGTTCCTTTGTTTTGCCTGCCCAGAGTGGTAAATGGAAAAATAACCTATCTGTGAAGCAGGTCCACTAAAAACCAGGCCCAAGTGAGGACTGTCACGGTCTGGAGGGCAGCAGGCGTCGTCTTTATGCCAACCACTAGGAGTAGGAGCCAGACACTTCCATCCACCATACCCTGGGCAGCAGTGTCACCGATGCCTGAGTTTGGCAGAACAGAACACACTTACATAAGTGACACAAAGCGGTTTCAATCCTTATAGATACACAGCCAGGGACCTTTAGTGTCGTTAGTGAGCTGGTCCCTCAAGGCTCAAGGATGCTTAGAGTCTTAATAGATAGAGTCTTAATTGTGTATTTCCACTTGTGCCACAGTGGAAGGGTCCCAACTGTGGCTTGCCCAGGGTTTTACACATTGGGGGGCAACATGACTCACTGGGCTTGAAGGTGATCCTGCTTTGGGGGTGAGGCAGGAGCAGGCCCCAGGCTGTCCCCTCCTAACTCATGATGTCACATCCCCTGGGAGGGACAGGAATAAGGCCCTGCTATTTCAGGCAGTTCCTCCCTGGCTCAGGAGTTGCATTCCTGCTCCTCTACACTCATTTATATTTGAAAACTTTGAACAATAAAGGAAGGAGAACTGGGTTGGGCCAAGGCTACCCAGAGAACTCACCTGGACTTTCATTTCTTTTTACTTGTCACTTTTTGTTCTTGTCCCTTTGCATTACATTTTGCAGACTGTCCCCAAAGCATCCTGCTTTCACAATAAAGAAATGGTCCCCTAAAGTTTCTCTGCTTGAAGCACTTTGCCAGGCTTTGGATACATCAGCAGAAAGATGGTTCGATCTTCCTCAGTTGGCAACCTGTTTATAACAAAATCTTTGCTCCTAATTGTACCACATAGACTTCTTTGTGGGCTTTGGTATTGCCACACTGACGCTAGTGACTTCCTTTTACCATCCAATGCTTGGAAATACTGTCGACTTGGAATGTGTGATTGGTTAGGTAGACAGCAAGGAAGGACAGAATGTGGCAGATGTGGCAGCTGGTTGCTTCTAAAACTGATCTTTCAGCATTTGACCCACAGATAAGAGTCTAGTTTATGAGTATCCCCTTGACCCATACACGTTGTTGTGGTTATTGAAATGTTCCATGAGTTTAATGCTTTGCATAACAGTATTAATTTCTTTCTCTCTTTACTGGTGTCTTTATCTAAACCCTTAGCATGACTCTACCAAGCCATTTACACCAAGCCCCTCCCTGCCTTTCTGTCCTTGCCCCACTCTTCACTCCCCTTTCCTTAATAGTGAGAGCCACAGTGATCTTCTCGAGGTCTTCAAGTCCAGCATTCACTCTCACCCTTGAGTGTGTGCCCTCTCTTCGCACCCCGCGTTGGTGCCTTAGGCTCAGGTGTGCCCAGTGGAGATGGTGACTAGCAAAGTAGAGCAGCTGGACTGTGTGATGGACTGAACGTGGGATATGAGCCAGGAGAGAGGAGTCAGTCAGTGCCAGTT